TTTTTTTTTTTTTTTTTTTTTTTTTTTTTTTACCGAAGCACAGAAAACCACAGGCCTGTCTTAATTGTTAATAGTGTGAATAGAAGATTTTGTGGAAAAATAAGTCTGGGAAATATAATCTATATATCTACATTTTAGAGATTCACCATTCACCATAGCATTTTAAGGGCTCTTCAGGATCATAGAATTGTAAAAACTAAACCTGTTTATCTCTGTATTACATTGCTAATTAACAAACTCAGGGAAGCTTGGAATGTCCCTCCTTCCCCTCTCCTCCCAAAACAACTATTAAGATCCTTAGAAATGATAGTCTGCTGCACACTCTTGGTCATGCCCATCTTGAGAACCTTCTCTGTTTCATAGAGAAGTAAACTGGGTCCCCGAGGTGAAGCGTCCATCAGATAGCTCCTCCTAGGGGACTTTCTCTTCCCCCAGACCTGCTTTTCTTTCTGTGACCACATCTCATAATTAGCTCCGCAGTCTAGAAGCCTTGAAGAATCTGCTTTAGACTTTTCTCTCAACTGACTTGCACTCCACCTTGCAGCTAATTTCTACTTCTTGTCAATCCTGCCCTCTCTCTCTCTCTTTTTTTTTTTTTAACTTTGACCAGTACTGGGGACCGAGCTCAGGACCTTGTGCTTGCAAGGCAAGTGCAGTGCCACTGAGCTAAATCTCTGGCCTTGATCCTGCCCTCTGTTTAATGTATCATTTCCACTTCATCCTCATTGTGTCTCATTTCCCAAACAAATTTGGACACAAAAACAGTTTTTCGCAGAAGAAGCTATGAATCTACAAGTGGGAGAGGACAGGGCACCTTTGGCAGCAACTGAATGGCAGCTGTTATATCCTCCTGAGTCACTGGGGCCCGGAATGTCACACCAAAGCTGTGGTATGACCTGTGATTTGCGCCCATTTGGTAGCTTTTACTTGGAGTTAGGGTAGATCCAGGATCTTTAGAGCCATGGAATTTTAGTTAAGAAGGGATCTTCATTCTCAGCCTCCTGTTTTATAAAAGAAGAAATTCAGGCCCAGATAATTTGGTGGTTAGCATCCAAATTAGAGAAAGCTAGACTGAAGCATAGATGTCTTCTCTTCCAATACAGTTCCTCTCCATTCTGCCAACCCATCCCCTTCTTGAAATACAGCTCCTTGAAGCTGAAGGGGTCCTTGGTGAACATCTTGCAGGCAACAGAGCTGAACCAGAAAGGTTCATTGATGTCAGCCAGCCCCACTAAGGATGGGACCTCAGGGAAGAAGCTCCCCCAGCTCCTCTGCACTGGGGCTTCAGTGCCAACGTCCCTGGCACTGTCCCTTCAACTCAGAAGAGTTAGGGTCTTTAGGAGTTTCTAAAATAATTGGTCCTATCTGAGAATTGGAAATCACTTAATGATTATCTGATATCATAGGACAGTTCCGTCTGGGGACTCGTAAGGACAGTCTTGCTACTGAGTGATGTGTGATTCAAATTCTTCCTGTGAACATAAGATCTGACTCTTTTTTTTTTTTTTTTTTTTTTCCAGAGGACTACAGTTTGTTTGCATGGCCAATTGTGAGCTTCTTAGGGCCTGACCTCTCACCCCCAGCTTTTGTCTATGCTTCTGGGGTGCAGACATGGCCCGAGTTCCACAACAGTATGAAACATTGTGTGTGATCCCTGACATCAGGCCTTTAGGGCAGAGGTGACCCTCCTCCAAGTCCCAGAAGAGGAAAAGCCAGCTCTGTAAACTTTAGTATCCCAGAAGATGAGGATCTCTGAGTGGTATTATATGGCCCCTTTCCCTTCAGACTCGGTAGGCAGGAGCTAAATATGGTCAAGGGAAGTCCATAAAAGGAGAAAGATATAAGGAGGAAAAAAAAAATAGCAAGAGTTGGGGAAATTTTCACAAGGCAGAAAAAGACATGACCAGCAACAGAAAATACCATGAGGTGCTGAGTGGGGAGTCAGAAAAAGCAAGAAGATAGCAGCAAGAAGTCAAGAGTGGGTTAAGGGGCTTCCGTCTGTGTGCACCTCCCTTTCTCACAGTTAGCTCAGAACCACAGGCTGTCAGAGCTGAGAGGGTCTGGTTCTAGTCTCTTATTTTATAGATAAGAGCCCTGAAACCTAGAGAAACAAAAGATTCACAGAACCGTGCATGCAGCCCTGTGCACCAGGACTGAGGGAGCTGCCTCTGGGACCAGGGCTGTCTGGGTGAAGCCCTGTTCTCTCGTTTCTCATCTGTTTCCAGCCTGGATTCAGCCCATCTTTGTCTGGAGAATTGTGACTAGGACCTGCTACCTTCCAGCAGTGCTGTTCTGCCAACTAACTGGTGATCTGTCTTATTGCCTTGGTACAGGATATACTGCGGGGACACCATACAAGGTCCCACCAACCCAGAGTAATACTGCTCCACCCCCCTACTCCCCATCACCCAACCCCTATCAGACGGCCATGTATCCAATCAGAAGTGCCTACCCCCAGCAGAACCTGTACGCACAGGTAGGTGCACGTGGAGGCCTGGGCTTACCTCTTCACAGGTAGAGGAGCCTCCAGCATGGATGGGGCAGGGTGAGGAAGAGAGAGAACAGTTCATGGGGCTCTCCGGCTGTCACTGGTATGGTTGGAACAATATTCCTGCACTAATCTCACTCCTTCATTCCACCTCAGTCCCCAGAGGGGTAAGGCAAAAGTCATTAAGATTAACAGGGACCAGAATATCAGAGGGGCATGGGGCATCTAGCTCAACTCCTTTGTTAAACAAGTAGGGAAGCAGAGACCCAGAGAAGGGAAAGCTTGTCCAAGGTCACACAGAGAGCCATTGGATGGGTCAGGATAAGGCACTTGTGTACAGTCTTGGTCTTCTCTTTCCACTCCCACCCCTCCCTTTCCTTGATAAACTTGTAAGTCAAGTAGGAAAGAGAACAGTGTCTAACTCTGCTACTAATGACTGTGTGTGTGGACTCTAGGCAAGTTATTCTGTGTGCCTTGTACCCCCATCTGGACTCCCTCAGCTAGAGTAACAGATTGTCCTGGTGTGACAGTTCTACATGAAGATGTAAGTGGCAAAAATACTTTTTTAGTGTAAAAAACAAATACAATTGACATCAGTTTTTCTGGTTTGTAGTAAGCTGCCCCTTGGGCAGTACTTTTAGGGGTTACTGTGAGACTCTTCTTGTTCACTAGAAAGATTTGAGAATCTCTGGATTAACATGGTCTTGGGGGTATCTAAGTACTCTTCCTAGCGGTCAGTAGTATAGTGGGCAGTTGTGGCAGGACACAGCCAGATGATCTGGGCGGGCCATTTCCTCCATCCTCACCTTTTGGCCTAAGGAGAAACCGACAGTATGAAGCATCTTGGGAAGTGCTATCCATTGATGTTTTCCAGTTTGTAAATTGCCAGTACTGCAACCAGTGTAATAACAACACTTATAACTCTTCAGCATATATGCCTGGTGCTCTGGGGTTCCCCATTCTGTGCTTGGAATCTGATTGACTGTACTCCCTGCCTTTACATTTTAGGCAGCTATAAGAGAATATTGCTGTAATACATAAACAGTCAAGGGCTAACACACACTCACACACACATGCTAATACCAGAGATAAAGGAGTAGAGCTCTTATCCCATTAGGTAATCATAGCAGCCCTAGGGGCAGAGCAGGGCAAGGGAAGGGCCAATGTTGAACGGACCAGCATGGAATAAGGCAAAGCAGAGCTGCAGCTGGGACCTAGCGTTCTGTCCCTGAACCAGTGGTTCTTTCACCACCACCCACCCCTCCATTCCTTGGGGCCTGGGAAAATCAAGGACCCCACCCCCAGCCCTGCCTCCTCTCCAAGAGCCCACGTGACCTCATTCTCTTTCCTCCAGGGAGCCTACTACACACAACCAGTGTACGCTGCTCAGCCCCATGTCATCCACCACACCACGGTCGTCCAGCCCAACAGCATTCCCTCTGCCATCTATCCAGCTCCTGTTGCTGCCCCTAGGACCAACGGTGTGGCCATGGGCATGGTCGCGGGCACCACCATGGCAATGTCAGCAGGTGAGGGCAGCATCTGCCACAGCATCCATCCCTCTCCAGGAATTCCAGTGGAGCAGAGAACATTCACGGAACTGACTGTAGCATAGCATGAGAAATCCTGTGCTGGGGACCCAGAGGAAGGACCCTGTAAATCTGTAGCAGGGATGAAGACACTTTTACCAAAAAGGGCATACTGTACTAGGTCTTAAAGGATGAACAGAGGCTAAGCAGAGACGTGAAAGAGGGAAGGGCAGAACAGGTAGAAAGAATGTGAGGGTGGCACATTCACAGAATGGAGATGGCATGACTTACAGGATGGGAGTGGAAAGGCAGCGGGTGCAGTTGGCAAGGATAAAAGTGAGTCCTGACACCTGAGGATAAGGGAGCTAGCACGGGGCTTTATACAGGGGGAGGGAAGGGTTGTGTTTGACATTCTCTCTGGCTGCAGGCTGTTGGCAGGATCAGAAGGGGAAAGGCTGGAAACAAGTAGGCAGTGAAGAGGCTGTCAGGACAATTGGAGAGATGATGGCACTAGGACACTGGTGGCCATGAGGGACCATGCGAGAGTGGTGTTATTTAGCAGACAGAAGCATAAGGCCCTGTCCCTGTCCCATAATGAATTATAAGGGATGCAAGAATCAGGAGACCCTTAAGATCCCTTCTCTATTAATAGCTTACATCAGAAATCAGATTAGAGCCCTGCTTGAGGATGAGGGCGGAGAACACAGCTTTAGGAAGGTCTTTGGATGAGTTAACACTGGGGAGAAACGTGGGCATTCCCTTTATGGGCCAGGGAAGACCAGGACAATGTGACCAACTTGTAGAGACCTAAGTCTTAAAGAACCATCGAGGTGATCACTTAGACTTCCAGGAGAAGAGTGGGCATTTGAATTTTATTCCACCCCTGACATTCGAAAGCTTCTGGATACCTGTCCTGTGCCAGCCATGCCCTCCAGGTTGTAGGGACCAGATACTCATAAGTCAGACCAGCATCCTGTCCTTAAGGAGCACGTGAGTATGGGAGATACAAGCACAGACACCAGCTGTTATTGCACAGTGTATGCGCAGTAAGTGAAGCATACAAAGAAAAGGGGACTTTGAAAGAACAGTGCTTGATTCTGTCCTCCAGCACCTGAAAAAGTCCTCCTAAGGGGACGAAGCCCTGCAAAGTGGGGAAGGGAGAGTACTTCATCAAGCAGGGGAGCAGCCTTGCAAAAGACCATTCTCTTCATTCCTACACCCTGGAGCGGCCTTGTCAGGTTTCCTTTTCTCTCTCTGGATACTCAGGTACCCTGCTGACTACACCCCAGCACACTGCGATTGGGGCACACCCTGTCTCCATGCCAACTTACAGGGCCCAAGGAACCCCTGCATACAGCTACGTGCCCCCGCACTGGTAAAGCCTACATCCTATCCAAGTGAGTGGGGCCAAAGCGGGATGGGAGGGGGAAACCTCAGAGCCCCTGACTTGCGTACGGAGCACAGATGTCACAGATGTCACAGGGGCAGAGAGTTATCACTTGCTTCCCTGCTCCAAGGTCTTTGGATGAGTTGACTCCTAGCAAGAAATGCATTCGTTCCCATGACCAGAAGGCTGTGACCAGCTTGTAGAGACCCAGAATTTTAGAGAGCCTGTAATGTCACTCAGCATATTTTGACACATGGAGGAACTGTAGGTATCCAAGGATGTTACTAAATTCTCTTTTCTATGGCAGCATCTCTCCTGCCTCTTCCAGGGACTCTTGGTACCAGAACACAAATTCTATAAGTAGGGACAAACATCTTCAGTAGGAAGGCACTGAGAGCCCTGTTTAGGACTCCCAGTTGAGGGGATGAGGTCCAGGGGCTTCTCAAAGTGGACTGTGTGATATCACTGTCACTAATGGTTCCCTTTTGTCCCCAGATCTGGAGTCACACATTGTATGCAACTACTCATGTCTTACACCGGTGCTGGAGCAGCTCCCTAGCAGCACCACCTCTATTTGCAAGAAGAGATGAACGGAAGTGCAAGGGTCACTTTATGCATCTTTAATGGTTTTGGTTTTTATTTTTGGTTTTGTAAAAGCTGCTTTTTCTAATATCCTGCCTCTCCCCCTTGCCCTCTCTTAGCTGCTTCCAGCTCTATGTCCTTCTCCTTCCTGACCAGGCGACATCCCCCCTACACTTTTCTTCCCCAAGTGTCCTGTCCTCAGGATCCCAGTCTAGTGGCAAGCAGACAGTGAGTTTGTTGCAATGGTTCAGCTGAAGGCTGGGCTTCCCTGGTAAACCATAAACAGATTTGGCCCTCAGGTCTGGATAGGAACTCAGAGCTGCTGAACAGGCCACATCTCTGGGCAAATTGTTTCCTACCTGGTTTTTCTTAAGATAATTCAGGACATTATCATGTCGACAAATGACATGGTGAAATGTCTTCTGAGAACCATCACAACAAACCAAGAATAAAACTATCTGATTATATAGGAGCTACATTCGCAGCTTCATACCCTAGGCTGAGAACCTGGGAAAACAGTCTTTGGGAGAATTTGGGGAAGGGTATGAGCGGGGAGGGCACTGTGGGCAAGGAGAGTGAAGAAGGGGAAAGAGGTCCTTGCCCTGATGGCTTTGGTTTGAAAGGTCTCTGGCCATAATGTTTGGGCCTGGACCTTCTGATTTGCACAGCGATGTTAACTGACCTGATACTTCCTCACAAGGTGATTTTGACTTCAGACCTGCCAAGCAGCTGCAGGGTGGCGGTATCCCGGTGTTCTGAGGCCTTGCAAGGCCAGGCACCCTGCATAATTCAGACCTCGGCCTCTGAGCCCTCGTGGACCCACTCTGATGAGGGGCTTCCTCCTGATTAGAGTGGGGACTTGTGACATTTCTCTCCCATTCCCTTCTGCCCTTCTCCCAGTGCCAGGGGTCACCTGTCTGTGTCTGTCTGTGAGGCTGACAGGCAGGCCAAGCTCTTGGCTACCTTGTGCCACTCACAGCCAAAGTGAAGGAATCACATTCCAGGTGGATGCTGGCAGCTCTGAAGGTCAGGATAGTGAAGGAAAAGCAATAGCAATAAACATTTCATAGACTCATGGAACTGAAGGGACCTTAGCAATCATCTCATCCATTTCCCTATTGGACACATGAGGAGATTGAGGCTGAGAGAAGAGAAAAAGACTTCCCTAGATCTCACAGTAAATTAGCATTAAATGCAGCCTTCCTACCTAATGGCATGTTGCCTACAAAAATGTACCTAGGGATGGATTGGCTTGGTTTTTATAAAAATTAAGTCATCAGCGCCCACACCTGGTAAGCTCCGGAATGACCTCTAGGCTCTTGTTTGCTTTTTGCCCCCTTGGACTGCAGAGGTGGTGGGTTTGAAGATGGGGCAGAGGCCATATGGGGGCAGATGGCAGGAACAGAAATTGCAAATGAAGAAATAGCATTTGGAAATTCTGTGAAGACATCTGGAACTTCATCCTGTACCTGGCTCCACCCCTAGGAAAAGAAGCAGATGGGCTGGCAGAAAAGGAGAGGCCATGCTTTTAGGACAGTAGCCCCTCATCCTGAGAAGAGAGGAAGAAAGGGGGAAGCATCAGGAGAGGAGCACAAGGATGAGGCCCAGCAGACATGGGCTCATCTGGGAGAAGAGGGACCCCTGGGACAAGAAGGCCCTTGCTAGTCTCACAGGAGCCTGGATTACCCAGCACTACCCTTCTGTACCCAGCACTTAGCTGGGCCAGCAGCCCCTCTGGGGTGGGGCAGGAACATTTTACTGTACAAAATGGGATCACTGACAACATGTGGGACTTCTAAATAACTATCTTCATTTTAAATTCGTGTAAACTTGGACATGCCTTCCCCCTACCTCCCATGTTCCCCGAATGGAAGAAAGACATCGGGAAACCTTTGGGCTAGAAAGACCTTGGAAGCTGTCTGGCTGTTCCGAGGGGGTCAGAGCCCATCCACATCCTTGGCCTAGAGTTGGGAGTTGGGGAGCCCACCTTCCAAGGAACTACAGGACGAGTAAAAGAAAACACAGCTGTTATGAGTGGTCTTTTTGGGGGTACTGGTGAGGTTTCATTTTAAAACAACAAAGTTTGCCAGTGTTAACATTTTTTTTTTTTTTGGCAAATACCTCTTGCCACCCTCTTTGATCTTGTAAAGGTGGGTGAAGGCTGTTCTAGATTATGTCATATGTGTTTGAAAATGCCAAAATAATAATAGTGATAATAATAATAGGAAACCTTTACATTTGTCCGGTGCTTCATAGATTTCAAAGCACTTCACAACCTTTGACTTACTGTCCCTGAGAGGAGAGAAACAGGGTCATTTAATCCACCCATTTGACAAATGAGAAAACAGGCTCTAGAAGGAAAGGAAATGGGTCCAAAGTGAGCTGACTGCTGGGATCTTGACAGACTTCCTGGCCCCTGCTGCCTCCAGGTGGGCTGGGTGGAACAGAAAGGAAGAGAAACAGGAAAGGTCTAGGAATGACCTTGTAACTTCTGTTCTTTATACACCAGTAAGTAAAAACTGGCATCTGTACCTCACAGTTCACAGAACAGTTTAACATACATCATGTGGCTTGACCCTGAGAAGTGGAGATTACGCCTACCATTTGATCCACAAGGAGAGCCAAGGTTCAGAAAAGTGAAGTGACTTGCTAGGTAAGCCACAGAGTCACTTGAATCCTGGGCTCTCTGCTGTCTCTTTCCCACCAGCCTGACCTCACAAGCTCATCTACTGAAGCATCTATGCTCCACACCTAGTCTTAGCCCCTAGTTCCATGTCCTTCAAGGTCAAAGGGAAGCCTCTAGGTGAAGGTGAGGCATTGAGAGTCTGTGGTCTGCAGGAAACAGGTCTAGGACCATTTTTTCAGGGTGAGCACTGGCGCCCCAATTCAATCTGCCTCAACCTCTTGTTCTGATGGAGATCCACAAGCCCAGCCAAGCTTGGGGAGTCACTACAGATGGATTGAGCCCCAGGAGAGCAGGGCAGTGTGTACCCTGGCAGGTCACAAGAAGAAGATTCTGTTGGCATCATCCAAAGATTCTGAATGTCCCAGTGATCAAATTGGACAGAAGGTCAGCTGGAAAGACCATATGATTTTAGGAAGGTGGTCAAGTCAGAGAGGACAAAGGACATGCCCACCTGACCTAGCTGCAGCCCTAACCACTGCATACACATCTCTGTCCTTCTTGTGCCACTGCCTCTCCCCAGATCAACATGTTGGTGGCCAGGAATAGGGGTAAAAGTGGTTCCATTCACCTCTTGGCTTTCCCTACTACTACCTGACTCTGTCTTCACCAACCTGGGACCCAGAAGTTTGGAAGCTGTAGTGAAAGCCTGAAACATAATCTTTTGTCACATTTTGGGGTAAAAAAAAAACCCATAGGATGGAGTAGTTGCTATTCCTTCTCATTCTCCTGGCAACCACCCTGATGTGTTTCTCCCCTCCCCTGAATATGCAACAGGGCCATGTGCACCATGTGCTTTTTTGGTATGAAAGTACTGGGCATTGATTGTCAAAATTTATAGATGAAAAAACATGCTTAGAGGGTTAAGAGACTTGACAAAGAGCACACATAAGTGAAACAGCCATGATTTGAACTCTTGAATGCTTTGTCCTTTCTGTTGCCACGTGATAGGTCTCTTGAGTAGCAAGCTTGAAGAAGAGAAGGGCTATCTCTCTGTCCCACACAGAAGGAGACTTTAGGAAGACTCAGGAAGCTCAGTTCTCTCAGCTGATGAGATTTTTAAGAACTGCTTTGGTCTAGGACCTGTGATGTGTTCTGGGGACCCAGAGACATATCCAGCTGTTAGCACAGAAAGCATGAGAATTTGCAACAAAGGCCTAACTTGAACACACTTTGAGGTCACAGTGCCCAGTATTGAAGAATGTCTAAGGGCAGCACCAGGCACTCCTCTCTTGAAAGACCCAGACGCCTGGTACTCTGGCTTTCTGATGTGAGGCCCTACCTGCTGTATAGATCCAGTAAGTTGGCATTTTAGAAGGCATAATAGAGTCTCTGGGCTTGATTTTTCATGAAAGGCACTGAATTAAGTAGGCTCCATACCTCCTCATTCTTTTAGCCACCCAGATTGTTCCAAATTTGAGCTATTCTCCCAGATATCTGAGGATGCTTCCTTGAAGGGTTTGCTCTGTTCTGAATGGCTTTCAGAAATTCAGCATATGGAGCATGAAGTAAGACAAGCCCCTTTGTCCCCCAAGTTCTGACATTCTTACTGTGTAGACAGGACATAGTGTGGCATTAGATGAACCAGGTCTGGGCCCTTGCATATCAAATTCTCTGGGTCTGCTTTGTGGAAGGAGATAGGCCCCACCTACTCTGGGCCCTGGAGTCTTCATCATCACCCTTCAAAGGCATTAGAGTAGATGTATGTGGGAGCTCTGCTTTTTCCATTCTGTAACACCACCACTTCACTGCAGGATGTGTGGCCCCCAGCTTCTTGCCAAATGGAAATCCAGAGAGGGGCAGCTGGGTAGTAGAGTGGGCAGGGGAGAAGACGGCTCCTTGCTGGTCTCTAGGCCCTACCCACCTGTAAAAAGCAGAGAGATCACTGGAAGACTTCCAGCTAGGCAGAGGGGCCAGGTTCTGCACCTGAGCCTCTCCACACTCAGGCTTCTGTGGGCATGCCAGATTGGCTTTGGGGTCTGTCCTTCACCCATCCACGTCAGAAAGCTCATTTGAAATTCAGCATTATGTTGTTCCAAGATCCAGTCTTCAAAATCCTGGCAGGCTAGCTTCAACACTCCATGGTCAACCTTGCCTGAGCCAGGGTAGGTCCCTCTCCCTCAACTTCTCCAGTGAGTATTTCCTGTCGTGCATGCTCTTGAGTCCAGCCTAGAGGCCTGTTTAAGAACGTGGAAGTTGGGACTGGCTGTCACTAAGCCAGAGAAGGACATAATAGCACCTGCTTCCTGTGGCTGCATCACCATTAGGTATCCTTGCTGTGGAGTGAGTTTCTACCCATTCCAGGCATGGGAGAAGGAGGATTTTCCTTCCTGAAGAGAACAGAGTGTTGCAGATAAGTACCAGACCAATCAAATGGGTGAAATCAGTTTTGGGCCTGACCCCAGCAGGACCAGCAAGCATCCTTCAGGCTTTGGCCTTCCTCCTGATGCTTAGGAGTTGGGAAGAGTTGGACGGGTCAGTGAAATTGTCTAGATCTGTATTGTAACTCAAATTCCCCCTTAGCCAGGGGGAGGTAAGGTTAGGTCTCCAGTATCTTGGAGTTGTCTGTGGTGATCTTTATAGGCCCAGGGCATTTCCCCTTATCCCTCATATCACGTGACAGAGAAGCCTGTTCTCGTGGAATGTAATGTTCCTGGGAAGAGAGCCTTGTATATGGTTTTGTATTTTTTAATTCATTTTAATCTACAGGTTGGAATCTAATTTTTAAATTTATTAGAACTCACATTTTAAAAAGAAATAAAAACATTTAAAATAATAATAATGATAATGATAAACCTTTGACCAGTGTCTTCCAAGTAGTTTGATCAAAGAATTTATAGGTGTTTTCAAAACACAACCTGGAGTGTAAAGATTGGAAAGCCCCATGGCCTCGCTTGTGTGTATGAAGTGTAAATCTGGTTTTGTTTTGTTGTTTTGGATTCTTTTGGGTTTTGTTTTGTTTTGAAGATCAGATAGTGATCACTATGAAAGACTGAAGCCAAGAGTTTGTAATTATGATATTTACTGTAAGCTGTAGAACATTCAATAACTATTAAAAAAGTTTCCAAAAAAAAAAAAAAAAAGTCCTAGGTGACCAGACTGAGTGGTTCTTGGGGGAGGGAGGCTCAGAGACTGCTTCTTGGGCCAGGCAGTCCCGGGAGTTCTTGACACGTTGATTCTAAGCTTGTTTGGAACTGCTGAGAAACACTTGTGCTACATCTCACAGTAGGCACAGCGGCGGGGGCCAGCTGCTTCTCAGTTGAGTGCCCATCAAGTGGCAGCTTTAGCACGTGGTCTGAGCTGTGTGATGGGAGGCTGGGAAGAGCTGACACCTGCGGGGTGGGCACATGTAGCTCAGTGGCAGTGTGCTTAGGGTGTGTGAGGCCCTGAGTTCAATTACTATCATCAGAACAAACAAAAAAAGACCCTGCCATCTATTGAAAGCCACTTGGTTTGTGCTTGTTAACCCTTGTAACTTGCTGTGAGCTGATCCCTATCATTAGCCCCATCTTAAAATGAGGCAGCTAAGGAGGGTGAGAACCTTGGCCAGGTTACAAAGCTGGTGGGCAAAACTGGAACTCACACTTGGTCTGGCTGCAGAACCCTGGCACTAAAGGCCCATGTTCTCCCCCTTCAAGGAGGGGCTTTCTTAAAGTGTGGATTTTTCAAAGCTTTTGCCTAGAATGGGTAGAAACTCCACAGCAAGGATACCTAACAGGTTCTGTTAGGTCCCCTGGCTTAGTGCTAGCCAGTTCCTTCGGTCACGGGGAATTGGTTTATAGTTACAAGAGAAGGACAGTAGAGAAAAACCACAGGGCCTCATAGAAGCAGCCATCAAGTGCTGTCAGTTTTACCTCCTAAACATCTGAATCTTTTCATCCCCTCCAGTGGCACCTGTGTCCGGGCTTCTCTCCCTGGGTCTGTCCAGCTTTCCTTCCCAGGGCCTGGCCCCACACTTCATGTTCCACGTGCCCGTGCCATGCCTCCTGGATTTCGGCCTGCTCAGCTGGTCTTTGCAGTTAGACCCGTCCCCAGAGCCTTCCACACCTCCTCAGTTCCATCAGTGGTCACTTTCTTAGTGGTTCTTCAGCTCCTCCATGGGAGGGCCAGCAGCACTTGCAGATGTCACGCTCTTCCATCTTTAGACAACACACCAAAGCAGCTTTGACTTAAGAACCACCTCTCCCAGAACCTAAGGCCCCCTCACCCATGGCCTGGCATAGCTAGGGTTCCACAGAGAACTGTCCTTCAAGTCCATGTCTACCACAGCACACAGCAATCCTGGCCCCACAGCAGCACCTGATGATTGCAACATCCTCCTTGCTTGGCTGCCAAGACCCAACCCTCTTCTGGTTTTCTTTGGGCCTCTCATTGCTTTGAGTGGGATCTGCCCTAGGCCTCCCCGAGATGTGTCCCCTCTTTCCCAGTCCTGGCATAATGCCCACCTGAGTGCTGGTGGGTATTCTCATCACCCACTTCTGTCTGCTGAGAGTTCCTGGCTTTCACAACTCAGGACATCACCATGGCTGTCAGGTGTCCCTGGGACTTGTCCTCCTGTTACCCCAGCCAGCTGGCCCCCAATCCTTGGCTTCATATCTGGTAAAGGAGGAGCTCAAGCCCTAGACTTCCCTAGCAGGTCTGCTCAAGGAACTTCTTAGATTTTTCTCGCCACCAGCTTCCTCAAGGTGCCCAGCTTCACAGCCTCTGCACTGCAGTGGCCAGGGGGGATCTGACAGGTCAGGCTCTTCACCACTCTGGAGGTTCCTGGACATAATGCCCACACCACCACCCTTGGCTTGGCCTTTGCATATGCTGTTCCCTCTCCATGGAACATGTGCCTCCTTCCCACACTTTTCAGATTCCCATGTTTCCCTCACCTCCACCCCTCCCAGGTTCAATGCCATGCTGCTTCCTCTAGAGCAATGTGTCCATTATGACAGCCACTTGCAGCTCTTATGCCCTTGATATATACTAGATCATATCAAGATGTATAAAATCTTGATACAGCAATGTGTGCACAACTGTGATTCCAGCACTCGGAGGCTGAGGCAGGACAATTACTGAGTTCAAGGCCAGCCTGAGCTACATAGGGAGCTCAAGACCAGCCTGAACTATACCGTGAAACCCTGTCTCAAAAAAAAAAAAAAAAAAGAGTGTAAAATACCAGATTCTAAAGCCCCCCAAAAAACCTCATTTGTAATTTTGTTGATTTTATATTATTTAAAAGAATTTAAATATAGTTAAAACATGCTAAAATTAAGTCCCCGTTTCTTCGTATTTCTTGGAATGTGATTAGAAAAGTTTGTATCACCTGTGAAGTTCACAAGTCATTTTCTTGGCCAGGCCTGCCTCTCCAGGCCTCAGTGGGAACTAGGTGGGGAGAGGGGCCTCCCCTGGCCGGTGTCCCCTACTGCTGAGCAGCAGGCACTGGGGATGGAGGGGCAGCATGTGCAGCACCCAGCCAGGCAGAGCAGGGCCCAGGAAGTACGCGTTGACCAGATGGGGCTTGTGAAGGGGCACAGTAATAAGAACTCCGCGTGATACCATTTTTCCCACCCTTTATTATTCAACAAGTGGATGAAGGTGGAGTTGGATGGAGACACAAGGGCAGGACAACAGTATGTTTAATAAATAAATGGGGGTGGGCAGTGGTCCGCGCCTGCACGGCCCCACATAAATAACCAGGTGGCTGAGGCAGAGTGGAGACAGATGGGTGGGCTGCAGTCCCCTACATTACCCAGGGTCCCAGGGACAGACACTGCGCCACAGGGTAATGGAAACCACTGAGGCTGCAGGCACCAGCCCCACCAGCGCTCCTCTCCCAGAAGCTCCAGGGACCTTGGGGGAGCAGGGCAGGCAGGGTTCTGCCACAGCCTAGCCCGAATTAAGTCCGTTTTTCAGTTCCGTTAAAAACAGCAGGTGGGGGCAGGCACATGCATTCAGCCCCACCTGTAGGCAGAGCCATGGATGGACAGCCCCACGGGGGCCTTGAAGGCAGAAAGCAGCAAAAATGTGCCAGATTAAGCTACAATGGGAGGGGTGGCAGAGTCAAGCACTCCCCCAACAGGACCCAGCCCAGAACCTGCAAGGAGCCCTGGGTCCTCAGATGTTCCCTCCCAACTTCATAATCAAGGGCTCAGTGATGGCCAGGGACATGCCCAGGATTAGAACCCAGGAACTCGGCCTCCTAGCCCAGGGCTTTTTGTTGTCCCTTCCCTTCACAGGACCTGCTGGAAGAAGAGAGGGAGGCACATCTGCTCTAGGGCCCTGGACGGGGTGGAGGTGGGGGTGCTGGGGCACCAGGTACAGGTGCCACTCTTTCACCGAGCCTTGATACCTGGCGGTACAGTGGGCTCATAGGATGTGGCCAGAGCAGGCACAGGGTTGGGGCATCCTGCAGGTGAGGGACTAGAGCAACAGGGACAGGGACAAGGCTCTTGATCTGCACACGGCGCCCACTGACTGCCTGCTGCCTCACTGGGGCGGACGGTCCCACCGCCAGGCTGTGACTTGCTGTTGTGTCTGTTGGTCATTCCTTCTTGGTCCTCGCGGTCCCAGCTGCAGCTCTGCCTCCTCCAGGAAGTCTTGGGGAGACAGCCCCTCAGATGACCAGGTTGCTTTCACTGAGACGGACCACATAGCGGTTCTCCTGGGAGACAGGTGAGTAACCAGAGGGGAATCAAGAGGGCTTCTGGGCTCCAGGGAAGTGGCCCCTGCCCAGGTTCCCCTGCACTCCGACCTATTCTGCCTTCAGTCGGGTGCTAACAGGAACCATCCCCAGACCTCACCTCGACCTTGTTCTCTGATGGGGGCTTCAGCCACTTAGTGTGGTTTTCAGCACTTCCCAGCAGTGCCCGCTGCTCAGGCAGGAGTCCAGGTCGTGGGGAGTCAGGGAGATCACCTACAGAAGGCCCAGCCTCTGTGATGGTCTTCACTTCAGGTGCCACTGAACTTGACCTTTGCTCAGGAATTCGAGCCACACGGAACCTAAGAGGACAGGTGGTACAACCACCCCCCCATCAGAGGGGACCCCCAGATACAGAGAGGGCAGCATCTGCCAGGGTCACACAGCAAGTTCAGGGATGAAGCCTCAGCTTCCCACAAATAAGGACTTCACTCTGCTGTTTGTACTGAGCCCCCAGCACCCCAACTCTAAGTTACATGTGCACAGGCCTTGATCTGTGTGGCCTGAGGTGTGGGGGCCAAGATTGCATCCTGGGGACCCAAGATAAAACAGTGTTTCCAAGTGAAACACAGCACAGCTGGGAAGTCCTGACTTTCCTCTGGCCACCCACTCTGCCCAGAGGCCCAGGAAGAGCTCAGCCACCACAGAACAAGGGGCTCAGGGCTAGACATGAGCCAGCATGTTTCTCGTGACACTGCTGCGCCTGTGTCCACCTCACCTGCCCACAGACAAGATGGTGATCTCGCCCTGACGTCCTGCCTTGGCCCCAGCCTTGGGAGCTCTAGTCAGGTTGGGCAGGAGGCTGGGAGCTGGAGTGGAGGCAGCCGCAGCCTCGGGGGACAGCAGCACCTCAGGCCACTTCTTCTGGCTACATCGGGAGCAACAGGGGCCAGAGAGTGAGGCCAAGCCCTGCACAGTGTGGAGGTGGTGGCGATGTGGGCAGATGTGTGGCACACTGGGGGAGACCGGTGGCAGCCTGCAGGAAGGCACAGGGATGCAGTCACTAGGGCAAGCCAGGACCAGACGACCAGCCAGTAGCGGTGGGACAGAGGTATGAGACAGAAGAGACCCAAGTGGGGAGCCCCAGGAGGGAAACTGATGGGCTGAGGGACTTGCCCCTCACCTGGGCACAGGCCTGTGGCTCGTCTGCACCAGCTGTTTGCTGTGGTATTCTTTCAGCAGCTCCTCCAAGGCTGCTGCATTCTCTGTGGGCAACTGTGGTCAGATCCCTGCTCTGCCCCAGCAGAGAAGCCCTCACCTACCCACCACCTGTCCCCAGCCTGGGATGTCAGCCTTTTCCTCTGCCCCAATCCAGTAAGCCCGGACACTCAGGGGTGGAACACAGGTCAGAGCACCAGGCCAGCCTCAGGTCCCAGGGCGGGGGGGCAGTGTAGGGTGATCTGCCTGCTCACAGGCTCTCAGAGGAGACCCTCTGCTCCTGGGCACTGGGATGGGTCAGACCCTCCTCTCACCCTTCTTCTCTGTGATCAGGCGCACCAGGACGCCAATAGTGTCCTCGTTGGTGTCATCAGTTCTGTAAGCAGGGTTGATCCCTGTGGAAAAGCAACGAAGGGCCATGATCCTAGGGGAGGATTCCGGGCTCCCAAACTATACCAGGATTTGCCGGCAGAGGGCACGCCAGGCCTTCCTCAGAGTAGGAGCCACGTGTGTGTTTGGCAACAGCTATGGCTCAGGGAAGTCACCTTCACTACCCATATCACTCCGGAACGTGACAACCCCCCGTGCTTAGTGGTTTCAGGGCCATCTGAACCCCACAGTCCCTGCAGACTGTGGAGGGCAGAGACTGCATCAGCCTCTTCTGGGATGGCCTTGCCCCTCCTCTGTCTCCGAGAGAACTCCCAACATCTACAACGAACTGCCCTTTCAGGTCCATTACCTCCCTGCATACCACCCTGTCTACAAAACTATTTAACTGAGGGCCACTGGTCAACTTTGGGTCCAAACCTCAAGGGCGTAAGAATGGACCACTGTAATCCCATTCTGAGCCCAGCAGCAGGCTCTCCCAGAATTTGAACCCAGGAAGCAGCCAATAGTTAAAGTCTCCAGGATAGGAAAACAAGTACTGTCCCAGGCAAAACAGCCCTGTTGCCATCTGCCGGCAGCTCCTTTCCCTTCCTACTGTCCTCTAGACTTTAGCATCAGGAATTGGAAGGGGCTCTGACAGTCCCAGGGAGTGGAAGGGGCTCTGACAGTCCCAGGGAGGCTGGCACTGCAGGTGCCACTTCACCCTGCACTTGTCCAGAAAGATCCTATGGGCCTGTGGCAGCATATATGCACGCAGGGTCCCTGGCCCTTCTGGGGGCATTGGTCTGCTGGAGAAGAAAAAGGGGCCTGGGGCCCTGGGTTACAGGTGGAAGAACATTGCACTCCTCTGGTTCCAGGACTTGTAACTCAAACTCTAGCTGCAACCTGAGCCCCACATGGTGCCCGCCCCGGGGCAGCTGCCCTGCCAGCCTTCCCGCCTCAGGGCATTCCTCCAGTTCCAGGCTAGAGGTCAGAGGTCCCTTCAGTTCTTCAAAGGCCTTTCAACCTTTGAATTCCTGTAGCCTCCAGAGAGTCCTGAACCCACAGCTAGGCAGCAAAGGCCTCACCCAGGGTAGAAATTCTACTACCGGCCACTTGACTAGCTGCCCTGCCCCTGCTGTCCATGACCCCACCCCCACACTCAGTCTGTGGCTGTCTCCTCTAAGGCTCCTAGGCAGCAGCAGCACTTCCAGGGTACCGCCTGAGGAGCCCTCTGCAGGCCTCTCCAGTCACACCTCAGCTAGGAGTTTCCCTCTTACACCCTCTATGCTGGCTTGGGGCCCAGCCAGTCCTCCTTGATCCCCAGCCTCCCACCTGGACCCCAGGGCAGGCCTCACCACTGCTTCCACTGCCTGGGGTGGGCCCAACCTCCTTGTGGGCCGTGCAGTGGTAGCCCTTCCGCTTGAGCAGGTTGCACACCAAGATACCCAGCAGCCCCATGAGGCAGAAGACAGGCACGATGGCAATCACTGCGTACTGGGTAGCCGTCTCTTCGGGGCCACCTGCTCGGGTGCCATTTCCCGGCTGCCTTGTCTCACTGCCACTGCCACTACCACCTCCTGCAGCCATCTCCACACCACGTCGGGCCCGCCGCCCCCACTCTGAGCACCACGACGGACAGCGGCGAGACCAAGGCAGAGAGAAACAGGCACTTACAGAGAGGCAGAGGCCCTGGGTCCCAGTTAGGGGAAAAGGTGTTGGGTGGAGGAAGAGCTGATGTGCCTTGACAGCCCCCACTGGCCACCTCAGGAGGCAAAGGCCAGCTCAGGGCCCTTCCTTTTCTCCTTTTTTGGCCACTGGATCAGTTATCATGAGACCCTCGGGCTTGCAAGAGAAGGAAAACACAGTAACAAGTGGCACATGCCTGGGCCCAGGGACATCCCGCAACCCCATGGCCTGGTCAGTGAACCAGCTGCTTCAAAGGTCAGGGGCTCAGTGTGAGAGGAGTACGTGTGCGTGCGTGCGTGCGTGTGTGTGTGTGTGTGTGTGTGTGTGTGTGCACATGCGCACATGCTCCTATCCATCTGCAGAAACCTCACGGAGAGGACAGGACAGAGGACTGGTCAGGATGTGAACTCCCAAACCTTAACCGTGGCTGCCACCTACTGGATGGTCTCTCACTCAGAAACAAGGTGTTCGACTGACCGCAGCCTCAGGACACCCTCCTGCTGCCCTCCCTCCTGCAGAGGATTCCACTGACCCAAGTGGGCACTGTGGGGCTCCCAGGCTCAGCTCACTGGACCCTTCCCACAGGCCTCCAGTCTGCCACTCACCATCACAGCTATGAGTACTCAGATGTGCCCAGGAACATGGTTGACATGGAACACTGGGGACCCCCTCAGGCTCAAACCATCTGCAGGGAGAGAAGATGTCACTCAAATCTAAGAGTTTCTCCAAAAAACTGTCCTTAAGAGAGTTTGGATCCCTTCCTGTACACCCTCAATGGTGCTGCCCTGTCCCATTTCATGGATGGGAAGACTGAAACCTGCTCAGTGTGGAATGAGGCTAGAACCCCAGGATCCAGGGCCCTGGCCTCCCATGCATGAGCCTCCCACCTCCCACCTCTGTGCTCACCCAGGCTGGCAGCCTCCACATAAAGTATCTTGAGTTGCGGTGCCTGCTTGGACCTCCAGCCGCCTTCGAAGGCTGCAGTGGTCATGGGGCTGGCATGGACTGGAGTCCCAGGAGGCTGAGAAGGTGCCCACAGGGCAGGACCTGCATGGTGTGCCCTGGCCCGGGTCCTGTGGGAGAGAAAGGGTGAGGCCAGGAGCCAAGCCAGAGGTCTGTGGGGAAGCCAGGCTGGGACTCCACCACTGGCCCTCAGGAGTTTTCCCAGGACAGGGCAGATGGGCAGCCAATGCTCACCAGCTCAGGCTCCTCCCCAGGTGGGCACTGCCAAAGAGTCCTTGATGTTGGAGTAGCCAAAGCCCACGACAGCAGCTGAAACAGGCAGGACATGTTGAGGAACAGAAAGTATGGACTGTGGGGTCTTTGGGGTCATCTGTCTACTGCCTGCTTCTTGAGGCCCTGAGTGCGGGGATCACTGACCACTCAGGGATGCCCTCTTCCCCTTCAGGAACACTCTTTAACCTCAATCCCTCACACTGTCAGGAAAATCCAACCCTGGCCCAAATATAACCAGTACCTGGGTAAGGAGAGATTCCGACCTGCTTCTAGAAAATGCTGGAAAGAACCAGACAAGGGATCAGGACCTCAAATCCTTGGGTCCCTTCCCCTTTCAGCTGTCCAAGGAGATGATGAGGAAATGCTTCCGAATTCCTCACTCAGATTCTGTCCTCTTCCTGCCACCCCAACCCCCATCACAGCTGGCTATGTCATTAGCCAGCCTCTGTTTATCATCCCTGGAGCCAAGTCTACAGCTGGTACTTACTATTCTGGGCCCTGGGCTGAGTCTCTGAGACCACATCCTCCTCTGTGACCATCCCCTGTGGCAAAGTTGCCCCATTCACACACACCCGTACCCAAACTGCCACGTTGAAAAGGAAGGGTCTTCTCAATGGGTGCCTTCGGCCTCTTCCATGATGAGCTCTTTCAGCTCTTTCAGCTCTTTCCTTTGCTCCCAACTCGTCCACATGTATGAAATGTCTTCCCTGAACTCCTGCTGTGGGGGATCCCGTCCTCCAATGGGGCCCAAACTGGTTGGGGGGCGCCAGTCACATCACAGACCCAGCTGCCCTAGAGGTGAAACTGGGAATCTCCAAAGCTGTCCCCAAACCTGTGAAAGCTGAGCCGTCTCCTGCCCGAGGCCCCATCTCACCCTACCTGGGCTTTAGCAGAAAGATGATTCCAGACCAGACTCTAAAACGCCACCCAAGGCTTCAAGTCTATAGGTGCAGGTGGGTCTGCAATCTCAGGCTGTTTTATGCCTGATCCTTAGTGCTGGCTGCAATCAAGGTTCCCTAGACCATTACAGATTTTAACTCCAGCACTGAAATGCTCCACATCCCAGGCCTCTTTTGTCCCACCTTCTGGTTCGTCTCTGTCCCCAGTCTCTGTCTCTGCTGACAGGCACCTTGCTGTCACCAAGGCGCCCTTGCCTAGAAATATCAGCAAGTCCTTCCTTCTGCCCTCTACCTGCCCTGGGTGGGGATGAGTTGGGAAATCAAGTTTCCCCTCTCTCGGATGGTACGGCCTTCCCACATGGTTACCATCATGCTGGGGGAATGTGGAAGTGCTTCCTAGGGTCCAGCAGTCTCATATTTTTCCCAGGGAGAGTTGAGAAGCCACACTTTACCCCAGCACCCAGTTCCCAAGCAGAATCCCTGGAAGGCTGGGTATGGGGCTCAGGACCATTGGGTTCTACTGGCTTCTCCCAGGCCACCCAAACTTACCGAAAAGAGGCAGGACAGGGGCCAGCACAGTAGCTTCATCATCAGGCCCCAGAGTGATCACTGGCCTAGGGCAAAAGATGGGAGTTAAGGGAGGCAGCGGGGACAGGTAGGCAGCTGCTGTGGCCCCAGGCCACCTTCAGCACAACAGGACTTGACAAAGAGTTTGCAAGATGCTGCTGGACAGGCAGAGCATGGGGTGGGCTAGCCCTACTCCCTTCAGATGCAAGCCAGGGGCTGCATGTCTGGGGTCAGCTCACCGGCCAGACCAGGATGGGAGGGCAGTCAGAGGGCTCTGCAGGATGAGGAGGCTTCCCTGAGGAGGAAGGACTTCCTTCCCCTCCCATAAACAGCCAGGTGCCCTGCAGCATCAGCAAGGGAGCCCAGAGGGAGGAAGGAAGTGTGGGAGGTCTGGGGCCAGGCTGAGAGGGTTGCAGCACCCTAGCCCTGGCCTCTCTGCTCGCTCTGCAGCTCTTGGGCCCCTGCCAGCCAGGACTCCCACAGGTCTGCAAGCTTTCTGCCACTCCTGCTTCTCCGCCTTCACTCTTGCTGGTTCTACTCAAGGAAAGTCCTTGTGCACCCCCACCCCCACAGCCCAACACAAGGCCTCTTTCTGGAAGCTCCTCTAGCTTTCCCCAAAGCTGAATTGGGTTCCAACAGCTTCTATCCCATCTTCCCTGCCCCCTCCCTCCCACTTCACCACAGGCCTGGTCCTTCCGTGTCCTGGTCCCCCAGGGGCAGGGGGGCATGTCCACTTACATTCTTGCCTGCCTGGTTCCATGGTAGACTTGCAGAAAGGGGGTGGTCATGGCAGCCAGCGTCCTACCTCTACTCATCTCTCCAGTATCTCCTTGTACCTACAGCCCTCGGTACTAAGCATGAGGCATGAACCAGATGGAGGAAGCCCATCCCAGGGGACATAAATGGCAGATTAAGAGAGATGGGAAGAACCAAGAAACAAAGTAAAGCAGTGTGAGGATCCAATGTGTGCCTCATATTTCAGAGAAACTTCAGTGTTTGATCCTGGCTCAAGATCACAGCTGCTTCCAGATAGGTCTCCAGCCAATGGACAAGGGCGGACAAGAGGAAGACAGATTCAGCTTAGATAACAGAAGGGACTGAAGAAGAATCAGGAAGTTCCCGGATATATCTGCCAGAGGCTGGGTTTCAGGGTCACCAGGAAGGTGTGATAGAAGCAGAGCTCATGCAAGTCAGACCTTAGCACAGGCTACCTCTGAAGCTCAAGGGTGGCCTGCCAGCCTCAGAAAATCCAGACACTGACTCAGGCCTCTGGGCTGTGTGATACTAAACCCAGTGGGAGACTGGCTGCCTGAAGCAGGTTCCAGGTCACATGTGAGCTTCTCTCCCTGCCGGCAGGGCAGTTGGGGCTTCCCACCTGAAAAAGGACCGAAGGAAACTGATCTGCCCGCCTGACCTGGGCCTGGCCCAGGCTTGAGTTACACCCAGGGGAGGGGGAGGAGCAGCAGTCACATCATCTTTGGGACTCTCCGGGTCACTGGCAGCCAGCCGCTCTCTACCCCAGGCTGGCCAAGGGGAAAACCAGGCCTAGGGAAGGCCGGGAGGGTAAGTGAAGGCCACATTTGTCAGTCAACACTCAACAGCTGGTACTCTCGGACTCATCCCCAACCTGTCCCTCAGATTCAATCACAAATCTTCCTTTCAGGTTCTGCCCCATAATGTTGTTCTCCTGCTCAGCCACCCCCAACAAGCCCATCTCCCCATGACTCGTCCCCTGTCCTTCAAGAGCTCTAAACCACAGACCTGACCAGTGCCCTAAGTCTTTGGGCTAACTCCACAGCCACCAACTCCAGGGCAGCAGGTGAAAAGAAAGAAGCAAAACCACACAGAGAGTCCCAGAAACACACCTGACCCTGAGTGGCACCTGCTGGGTGACCTGAGCCCGAAAGGAGGGGCTGGGCTGTCCCACTGCTCATCTGCAGATAGGCATGGAGCGGTGCAATCTGGAGACTTCTAGGAGGAAAGTAAGGGTCCAGAGGCCCAGACTTAGCCAGAGAGGCCCACTCAGGCACATTCACAGACATTCACGGCCCAGCACCTTTTAATTACGTGCCTTCTAATTACCCCAAACAGGCACTTACTCCAGTCTGGCTGCCCTGGCCCCCACACTCACCCAGACTGAGCCCCCCACCACTGGACCTGCCCAGTCAGGCGAAAGAATCCACTGCACAAGTGTGCACACCCACTGCTCAGATCCCTGCCCCGGGCCTCTAGTGTCTAAGCCAGTCTTGGAAGGGGACTGCAAAGCAAGTTCAGAGAGAAGCCCAAAGGCCAGAAGTCCCAATCCCACTGCTGCCTGTGGCCAGGCCATCGGTGATGACCCAAAGCCCAACATCTCCTGAGGGCTTTCTGAAGGACAGCTGTCAGAGTTGGGGAGACTCAGGCCCAGATGGTGGAAAGTGGTACCTCAAGCTGATGTACCGGGCCAGACTGAAAGCCTGACAGGAGAAAAAGAAAGCTCTCCTGCCCCAGCCACACTGGTGGGAGAAGTGAGCCCCAGGGATTCTAGCCAAGAAGGAAGTCAGCTCAGAGGCCACTTCTTCCTAAAGTCTCTTAGCCCAGCCTACTCCCTATGGGACCTGAAGACCTCATTCCCTGGGGCTCAGTTTCCTCATCTGCAAGATGGGTCTTGAGGCTTAAATGAGGTAAAGAGCCCAAAGTAGGTCACAGGATTTCCTCCCCAGCAGGCCTTTCTCCTGGGCTGCAGGTTTGTAATTAAGTATTTGTCTGCTTACTTGTTTATTGCTTGCTTCCCCACCAGACAGCAGGAAAGGAAGGGATGTCTGCTTATTCACCACAAAGCTCAGCACCCGGCCTGGCTTCGAATAGGAGGCTTCCACCAAACAGACCTGACCAGACCAAAAGGTCAAGGAGGGCTTCCTTAGACTCAGCCCTCCAAAAAAGTACCCAGACAATTATAACCAGAAATTCCTTGGGTAAAATCCAACTAGCCCCCAAGCTGCAACGCAAGTCTGGACACGGGAGCCTAGAGGAGCAGCCCCAAGGCCTCTCAAAAGAGGAAGCCGCGCCAGTCTAACAGGCCTCAGGCAGCTTCCCCTTTCTCAGAACCGAAGACCCACCCCCATGCCCCGCCACACCCCCT